GCTATCCATGTCATAAAACAACAACTTATAGCTGCTCCAAGGAATGCACGATCATAGCGATGATAGTGGAATATCGCCTTTTTGATGTAAGGAGCATTCTGTACAAACAATGAGGAAGCAGCAGCGAACCTTCTGAAAATATAGGAATGTGGTAGTTGGTTCACGAGAGACATCGCGAATTATGCAGATCTAGAGAACCTACCGCAGCTTTGCCAGCTTCAATATCTCTGTTTCCAGGGATTCCAACGCTTTCAAACCGAATGTGTCAAATTCTTGGAACCACAGACGTTTCGCTTTTTCGGCTCTCAACACCATGAACTGCTCTTTGAGCTGAACTCATTAGTGGAATTCAATTACAGGCACGTTCAGCCTGAGAAATTATTGAAAACGTTATTACCTGAAGAAAATTCGCCAGACTACTTTTGAATAAATAGTTCGGTGAGACGTCAAGAGCTTGAGTGGGAAGTACACCCATGGAGTTCACGGGCACAGCCACACCAATCAGAGCGGCAAGAAATGGTGTGAGATCCACCTGAATGGCATTTTTTTGACATGAATGGCCACAAAACAAATTAGAAGGTTCTGAAAGACCTGGGAAATAGTATTCGTCACGCCGCTTTTCTGCACTCCTGCTCCCCACGCGACGAATGGGGTCAAGACCTGCAATCATTCCGAGATCGATGACAAAAAAATGCTTTGATAAATCAATCTGCTTGAATTCTGTCAGCATATTCCAGAACGTCACAACACAATCAATCATCAGTGGCATCAAGCTCTTTTTTCTTGTGAGTTATCGGAAAGAGTTAATTCAAATGAGAAAACGGTAGCGAGACGGCTGATTAACTCGACTATGTTACGGAACGCACGTGAGCCTATATCTACCTCTTCATCAGTTCCTGCTCCATGAGAACCCCAATCCGTCATTCCGTGATCCGCCGTCATCACGAATGCTGTGGAGTTGTCATCGAAAAATCCGTTGATGACTTGTTGTATCCGCTCAATTCCCCGATCAACCACTAAAACACTCGAACTATTGAACACACGTGATTCAAGTGAGATGACGCAAATGATGGCAAAAAGTAGTCATAGCTCTCACTAGACTCATACCTTCGATATTGTCCAAATACTCCTGAGAACGTGGTTTATTCCCATGCCCATTCGTATCCAAGCCTAGTAGATGGAGGAAAAATACTAGCCTGTCGGACATAAGACGTTGTTTTAGCTCAGGGTCGCTTTGTGTCTCGTTGAAGAACTTCTAAAAAAAGCAAGGAAATGAAGGTTCACCCCGAGATTATTAATTCAGAAAGGTGCTAACCTCGACGTGGTCGAAAACCCATTCATCAAGTTTATAGGCTTCATTCGACCCAAAGTCCTCGTCGCTGCTCGAATACATGAAAGAGTGCACAGTAGGATAGTTGTCGAAAAGTGTGACGATATCTGGACTTCCCCACATCCACGATTCCCTCGATCTGAAATGTCAATCGCAGTTTAGAATAAGCCATACATTCGGACTTCCAGAATGACAGATTTGTTTGAACAATCATTTGAACTGGAAAAGTCTTAAGGAAGGATCATCTGATGCTCATTTCAATAACTTTGTCTCCTCCTTTCCCCTTCTCCTTCCTTCGCCGTAAAAAGTTTAAGTTAACTTGAATCAGGGCACCACCAGATATGGTAGTGAAGCTCCAAGACCCTCCACAATTCTCATAATGCGATGGCGTGCTTTACAAAAATATCGCAGCAAACCAAAACAACAGAAGATTGTGATCGAAAATATTGCACTGACTGATCACCTGTTAAAAATACTATCAAACTGGACAGGGTTGTGTTTCCATCCCCGAGCAACAGCACTGACATCTTCTGTGAATCCCGCAAAAATGGCCACATGTCCAGGTCGTGATTCTGTTGGTACGTGGCTACGAGAAATTGCGTAAACACCCTCAAATTAACTTCATTAATAGGAAGTCGATGAGCCACTTTAGATAAAACTTTACCTTTCGTTCTCTAATAAGCGAATGTAAAAATGGTGATTTCTCAGGGTGACGAGCGAATGTATCAGAGCGTAAACCATCTAAAAAATTTGCAGCTGAAAATTAGCTTTCAACCAATGAAATGAAGAAACCTACCTGCCGTGAAAATCACCAAACGCTTGGCCGGAGCAATTCCACTGGTAATCTCATGGGAGGGTACATTGGTGACAATAGGGGAAGTGTAGTAAATGTCAAATATTGAGTAAATCAATAGTGCATGGATTAAAAC